GCTACCGCCGCCAGATTGATGAAAGCTGCCTCCGTTGACCAACGTCGCCTGCCCAAGGATTTCGACTCCGTCAAGGCCTCTCTGACTACTGTTCGGACAAGAAGAGATGAAGAAAGTTGGCAGGACCTCGGGGCCCGGACGCGCCGCCGACAATGAACCATGTGGAGGCGGAGAGGCAGAGGAGGGAGAAGCTGAACCACCGATTCTACGCACTCAGATCTGTGGTACCCAACGTTTTTCGGATGGACAAGGCTTCACTTCTATCTTGCGTCAACAATATAATGATTCAGGATGTTGTCGTTACTCAAGACTGATGTTGCTTCATTGGTGGAGCTGAACATGCTCAAAACCTGATGGGTTCGGCCATGGCAGGAGCTCTGGGTGGTGTAGTGACGATGGGGAGGCTGTTTTGGATTTTTTTGTGGATATGACGGAGCCTTAATCGACTATGTACATGTTCATAGTCGATTAAACTAATCGACTATGTTCTGGTATTCGGTTAAGGTTGATCGACTCCAGTTTTTTATTTTTTTTGGATTTCTTGTTTATTGATTTCAATTGTATAAATCATTTATAACGTTTATATATTTTTTTTTGTTTTTTGTAAAATATAGTTAATTATGCATTTTTTCGCAGTTGTAATTTTTTATGTTTAGTAGCAGATTCTTAATCGACTATGCTTCATCATAGTCGATTAATATACCTGATATAGAAAAAAAAATTAAAAAACAAAAAAAATTAAAAAAATAAAGATTTTCCTTAATCGACTATGAAGCATAGTCGATTTAAGACTAATCGACTATGCTTCATAGTCGATTAAAAAAACGGAAAAAAAAAATTCGCGGAGCGCTGACCCAGTGATGAGGTGGCGGGCGGGGGTAAAGCTGGAAAACATAATGGCTGAAAATGGGTGTGGACTTTTGTCAAATGGACTAAAATATTTTGGGTCTCCCTTAATTCAAAAAAGTAGTGAGGGAGTTTTCTCAAAGAGCCCCTTAAATATTTACTTATTAAAAAAATCGGTTGGACAATATTACCCGACCAACAAACTTTTGAGTAAATTGAAAACCACCGACCGACCCATATACCGGCCAGACAACAAAGTTATCGGCCGAAAAAAGCGAGTCGAAAGTGGGTCGAGTGACCGATAAACCCGATCCATGCCCATCTCTAATTGTATGATATATTCTTTTGTTATAAAAAAGTTTTTTGTATGAATTTCGACACTTAATTTAATCCTTTATTTTTATTTTGTAATTTTCGTGTTTTTATTTTTTATTTGGTAACGAAGAAATTCACAGTTAACCATATAGTAGACTGACTAAACCTACACTCTCGTATAATAGTTGCTCGTGTTTGTAATTTCAAATTGAATTACTAGTTGATTTGTTTTCTTCAATTGCATCAAATATCAACAATGATGTTGAGATTCAGTAGAGTTACAAATATAATTTAACACGTTGAATACAGTTCGTGGAGTGAAACTCAGATGAATCGAATTGAAATGAATACTCTTAAAACATTTTCATTTTTATCCGAGAGTAAAAAAATCAATTCTAATTCCAATTAAAAAAAATGGAAAAAAAATCAAAAAATTGGAATAAAAAAACTTGTTCTAAAATCAAAAGTAATTAATTAATGACAATATTTTCCAAATAATTTGTAATTATATAAAAAAAAGGAGGGAAATTATTTCTTGCAATATGTAGCCGTTACAGCCGTTAATAAAACACCTACTCTGTAAAATAAAACACTGACCTGGAATTGCAAGAAATGCGTCCACTCTTCCGCTTCCCCGCCACCACCGCCCACCACCACCACCACCACCTCCGCCGCCAAATCCGCACCTTCATAAACGCCAGAATCAAATGGGTCCGCGATCCCTACCTCGACACCGCCGTAGAGAGAGAAAAAAACCTCAAACCCTTGCTCTCTCTCAAAACCCTCATCCTCTCCGATCCCACCAAAACCCTACCCCTCTCCGCCGTCTCCCCCTTAAAACCCCATCTCAACCTCCCCACCGCCGCCGACAAATTCATCCAAAACCACCCCTTAATCTTCAAAATCTTCCTCCCGCCGAACAAAAGCAATTCTCTCCCACACGTCAAGCTCACCCCAAAAGCCCTCTCCCTTCACTACGAAGAAATGCTGATCCTCAGTTTGTCCCGTTACCGGAAAGACGTGGCGGAAAGGCTGGCGAAGCTTCTGATGCTCGCTCGATCGAGAAAGCTCCCGTTGTTCTTGATCGATATGTTCAAGCACGATTTGGGTTTGCCTCATGATTATTTACTGACGTTGTTGCTTGAGTTCCCCGATTATTTTCAGATCTGCGATATGGGTTTTCGTGATGCGAGCGGTGAGGCCGTTTTCGGGTTGGAGTTGGTTTCTTGGAGAGACGAATTCGCAGTTTCTGTAATGGAGAAGAAGGGGAGAGAGGAAGGGGTGCAGATAAGGTATTCGATGAATTTACCGAGTGGGTACGATTTAGGGAAAAGGGTTGCGGAATGGATGGAAGAGTGGCAGAATCTTCCCTACATTTCTCCATACGAAAACGCGTTCCATTTATCGCCAAACGGAGATCAAGCGGAGAAGTGGGCCGTGGGTGTGATCCACGAGCTGCTGACTCTGCTTGTTTCGAAGAAAACGGAACGCGATAACATCTTTTGTTTGGGAGATTTTTTGGGGTTCGGGCGGCTAAGAATCAAGAAAGCTCTAGTGCATTTTCCCGGGCTTTTTTACGTGTCGAACAAGATAAGAACACAGACCGTCGTTTTGAGGGAGGGGTATGTAAAGAATCTTCTTTCGGAAAATCACCCGTTAATGGTTATGAGAAATCGGTACATTAGACTCATGAACTTGGTGTTGAGAAGGGGTAAGCCAATTAGAGCTGTATTCGGTGGGAATCGAAAAGGGTCCGTTGCTCGTTCTAGAGTCGGCAAGAAGAAAGAGGACTACAATCGGTTGAAGAGAAACGACGGTGATAAGGCTAATTTATGATTAAGTATGGCAGTCGTAATGACGATGAGGACAACAATTACATCTTTAAATACGGGTTTCGATGATAATTCGCCGAGCATTTTTCATCTGCAGCTTTTTCTCCAAGTGACGAAAAGGAATTAACAGTAAAGTATTAGACTCGTGAATTCCCTTTTTAAGTTTCCGGTTTTGACTACTCTCTGCAAATAGAACTATGTTTTTGTTGTTCGATAGAGTAAATTATTGTTTATGAATCTTCAATGTCTGTAGAATAATGCGTTCATCGGCAAAACTATGTTTCAAATCTTTCGTGATCATGTTTTAATTGAATCTCATCCATTGGAAGGCGCATGCAGTTGAAGGAAATGAAGAGTCGAACACCTCTTGGTAATCATCTGACAGAACTCCCAGTGATCCGAAAAGGTATGCTTTTGACACAATCGAGTTTTTACATCGACTACGAAATTAGTAACATTTCATGTGTTGGAGGTGTTGGAGGTTTCTCACTCCATCTGATTAGATAACTTTAATATGTTGCAACAATGAGTTGAAGATAAACGAACACAAAAATAACTTCCGTAAAAAAAAAAAAAAAAAAAAAAAAAAAAGGCGCTCGTAAGTTGTTTTTTCAAATGTTTTTGAAAACACCGCCTTACTGGATATAATGGATTATTCGCCATTCTAAAGTTCGTTATTTATCAAAACGAAAAATACGTCTCAAGGTTGGCTTAGATTGAGTGGATAGAGAAATACTGTGAAACTTCCGGTTTTGTGTATCCGAAAGATGAGGTCATTAGTTAAGGCTCTATTTTTTTTTTCGATTTTTTTTTTTTTAGAATTAATTGAGATTAACGACAGATGACATTTTTTTTTATATTGAAATTTGACATTTAAAAAAAAAAATTACCCCTGATAACCAGATATCAAGACTTTCGCTGACTAATCCTGGGCTCGTCCCCCTCGTTCCCTCGTCTAACAATTATTCAGTGTTCACCCATGTTTGTCAGACTAAATTACTGAATATGTATTTTGTGATAAGTTGTGAAAAAAAAAAAAAAACATAATGTTTGGAATTGTTTACTTTCATTTTATTTTGCTTCGACTGAATAATTTGAAAATGAAAGTAATGTTTGTTGTATCGTATTTTAGCGACTCACATTTCACTTCACTACTTTATTTTGTACTACGAGTAGTGATTGAGATCTATATCACTGTATGTTACATCCGGGAAAGTACATCCGATACACATTTATTTATAATTATTTTGTTTAATTAGAAAAAAAGGCCTACATAATTTTTTTAGCACAAAAGGCCTACATCATTAATTACAACACTAAAAAAAAATACTAGAGCTAGTTTGTTACTATTGAAGACATAGATATCAAATTATCAATTGATTTACATCACTAATAGCTAAAATTTTGTGATAAAATCTCTCCACGCTAATTTCTGACTCGTACGATGTAAATTTTATATTTTCAATAAGTTGATAAATATTTAATTTACTCTATGACCTATCAAATTTTACTCTGCAAATATCATTTCAGCTTTTTAGGGTAAATTACAAACACCCCTTGAGGTATGGCCAATTTACAAAAAAACTCCTCTTGTATGGATAATTACATCTACTTCCTCAACTATGATTTTTTCTTACATCTCCACCCTTATCGTGTCAAATTCAACCTAATCATCTAGATTTTGTGGAATGTGCTCTAGTTTGTACTCGTTTTGTGTTAAAATACAGTTTCTGATGCACCACAATCTGATATATACAAGCCAAATTAAAAACACATATTATGATCATCTTGCTTCAAAAATTTGGAGTTCGAATGGGATAAAACGGGTACAAAAGTGATAATATTCCATACAATCTCGAAGATTCCACTAAATTTGAAAGCAAGGGTGGACGTGTAAGAAGATTTATAGTTGAGGGTGGTAGTTGTAATTATCCAAACAAGAGGGGGGTTTTCGTAATTTAACCATACCTCAAGTAGGTGGTTGTAATTTACTCTTTTTTTTAATTCGATATATATATATATATATATATATATATAGGGAGGTTGGATACATGCACCCGGATCCATGCAACCCCAGCCCGCCCGATCCGGCCACAGAGATACTTAATTCAATCTGACTCAAACCGACCCACCCCAACCGAACTGATTTATTTTTCTGTCTGCCTGCATCCCCGCGCACCCTCCATCGATCGATTGACCGCCCGCCCGCGAGAGACAGTGAGACACCAACCAACCCCCCCCCACCCACCTACACACCCAATCCACTCTCTCACAGAGAGAGAGTGATTTATTTAATTGATTAAACGATCAATCGATCACAATCTATCAATGAATAAATACAGACTGTCTGTGTGTGTGTGTGTGTGTGTGTGCGGACAGACTGTGCGTGCGTGCGAGTGTGTGTGTGTGTGAGAGACAGAGAGAGAGTGTGTGCGGACTGTCTGTGTGTGTGTGTGTGTGTGTGTGTGTGTGAGTCAGTCTGTGTGTGTGTGTGTGTGCGGACAGTCTGTGTGTGTGTGTGAGTGTGTGTGTGTGCGGACAATCTATGTGTGTGTGTCAGTGTGTCAGTGAGTGAGTGTGTGTGTGTGTGTGTGTGTGTGTGTGTGTGTGTGTGTGTGTGTGTGTGTGTGTGTGTGAGTGCGAGCGAGCGAGTGTGTGTGTGCACGGACAGTCGGTGGCTGTGTCTGTCTGTCT